TTTATTTAGCTACTTTTCAGTCCACCACATTCTATACCACTTAGTACTGTAAGCCTGAATGTTAAAGTGCAAATTAACACCTGACCACCCTTGTGGGTTTGCTACTGTTACAATTAAAAATCACAGAAAGGTAAAAACATTGGTATGATGTAAGCAAGACAGCTAAAATAAATAAAACTGATAATGGGTGAGTTAGATTTATAGTGTGCGAATAATCAAGCATTGACAATAATCAGTCGTATTGGCGACACCGAGGGGCCCCCAAATAAAATGTTGCTTAGGGCCCCATAAATGCTTGGGCCGGCCCTGCACATACATTAGAATACAGAAAAAAATTAAAACTGAACAATTACAGGGGAAAAATATGTCTTTATAAAAGAAATGTTTATTTGTATAATGTATTTATTGAATTGAACAGAAAGACATAAAGTATATTAAAAAGAGTGTATCACACAGCATTCTTTTCAAACTTTGTCATAGCTCACTAAATATTGCTGGACAGTAGCAGTTTGTTTCTAGCAGATGTGCTTACATCCAAAGTTGTATTACAATGGTTTCACTTTGCAGACATTTCCTGTTTTATCTTCCTCTTGTGTGTATGTATTGTGCTGTTGAGAGTATTTTGATCTTTGTTAGATTGCAGGACATTAAGAGTATAAAAGTGGCAGCAAAGAAGATGTTGACACAGGTTGTCCACTTCATTTATCAGACTCTGGTTGTGAGAGCTACACAGATGTTAAAGGAGATAGAGGTAAGTGCTCAATAGTCCTCATTTACTAAAGCATGCTGTACATGATTTTAATTTTTCAGTGGAAAGGTAAATGATGAATATTCTGCATATTTCACACAATTTCAGAATGTGTTTTCAATCTCCCATCATTACAGTACTTCAGTCTCTTTCATCATAGCCTGACAAAACTACAGTTTGACCAACAGAAAAATGCACACCTATTTATACTTTGCAGAATATGTAAGAATTACATGGTTACATGATTGGTTACACTCATCCAGGCAGATGATTTTCTAGACTACTTCATAATTTAGTTATAGCATACATTTGTACCAAATCCTTGTTAGATGTAGTTTTGACCTTCCTATTTCAGGGCAAAATACATCTAAACAGTGTACATTTAAATAGTGTTTGATTGTAAGGCCCTGTATGCGGAGGAGGTGGGGTGTTTGTTGGAGAGGAAGACATCTCTGAACAGGTTGGAAGGCTGTCAGGACTACATAGCAGCTTTTATTGACAAGATCCTATGCACAGAGGGCCACTGCCTCCTGACTTACACAAAAAGAGTAAGCTGTTCTATTTTTTGTTTATTCCTTATGTACCATAAATGATCTAAACCTTGTTCTTCACATTCATACTGATTATGTTAAGGCCCCCCCCCCCGACTTAGATTTGTTCAGGATAATATTAGCTCCATCATATGCTTTGAGGTGAGGTGCATTAATTTGTATTTAGTGCGGTCAATCAATTTAAAAAAAATTAATTAATTGCACATTTTTTTCTAAAATTAATCACGATTACATTAAAGTTTTTAAATATATTTTTATATTGCAATAATTTCACATTTAATCTTCAAGTTAATGTAGAAACAACATAAAGACAGTATATTTTTAATATTTGTTTAGTGGCATCATTTTTTATGGCTGAAGGTGAGTATCACTGATACCAATACTACTGATATCTCTAGGATATTGTTATTTTTTCCCTAATATTTAACCATTGACTATAGCCATTCAACATTACAGTATAATTGAGAACTATCAATTTGAACATTTGACTTAAAAAAAAATAACAGCTTCTAATTTAAGTGAACTGAAAACAATCTTAACATAAACCCATTATAATAAATGTCATGTTTACCTGTGCCCTTCAGCAAGTATGAAATATACAGAAATTGAATAAAGTTATCAACACTAAATTCAAAATTATATATAGATCAATGCTTAAAGCTACAAATGTTATTGATTTCCTCTTTTTTTTTCTTTTGTCCTTTGATTAACAGACATCACAGCATCTGGGTTATTAGGTTATTTGGCTGCTGTTACTTTAAGAGCTGCCGCTGCTGAACACGACACAGACCTGACACGCACGCTCGTAGTTTAATTCGTACTTTAATATGTAATGATACAGGCTACAGTACACGCCGCCGTATTTGTGCATGCAATTGAAGGGCATGCATTACGAGCACAGTATAATGGCTGACAGGACAGGAAAATTAATTTTTACTGACATATGGCCTGACAACATCTCATCTGATCGCAGTTCACAGTTGTTTTACTAAAGCTCCCTCATCACCTGTACCGTTTCCACGCTCGTTTGACTAGTGCCTGCCTGGCACTGAGGTGAAGTGGAGATTGTGTTTGAAAGTCTCCTGTTTGATGTGGTCGTAAAGACGTTCTACATCTAAATAAATGCAATTCTTGTCAAGAAAACAAGAGACAGAAGCAGCATTTGCAAGTGGGTGGCCAACCCTAGCTCCGCCCCTGCATTAACTACATTAAATATTTTTAATGCCATTAAACTGGAAAAATTAATTGCCTGCATTAATGCACTAGCAGACCTGCCAACCTGTACGCATTTTGCGTAGTGGCTACGCATTTTGACCTCAAGTATGCTGGTACGATTTGTCACACTAAACTACGCAAAAATCTGGTGACGCCTGTGTCCACGCGTGGTAAATGTAAATGTACTCAAATCAAGCAACAGAAGTGTACTGGAGTTTTAATTAAAGTGTACTGGAGTGTTTTAAGGGCATTTAAAAAAAAAATCTATTTCATGCGATGTCACTGTATTACTTTATTTGTGACTAAAACTGGCTGTCATTCAGATTCTGAGTGTTTGTTGAGCCCTCTGCTATATTTTTTGTGTCTCTAACTCAGATTGAGACCCAAGTGAAAAAGCTTCTGTCCCAGAAGGCATGCACCCCTGAGACCATGATTGAACTGCACATTCAGATTCAGAATGAACTCTGTCAGCACATCATGAAATGTGGTAAAAAAAAAACCTTCTGCTTTTTTTATTACAAAAATGTATTTACATTTTATTAAAAGAAATCTATAAATGTAACATCTTTTCCTTTCTTTATGCCCAGGATTTTTGAGGATTAGAAGGGTTCTTGTTCCATTCACCTCTCAGAGAACTGGTTCCACTCAGTTAGAGTCTGAGTCTGTGAAAAGCTCAAATCAAAATCCCTGTGCCTCCTCTCAGACTGTGCAAATGGACAAGGCCCTTCCTAGTCTGCCTCATCCATCTCAGCCCAGCCAGCCATCTCATTCTAACCAGGCCACAACCCGCTTTGCATGTAACAATGTTGCCTCTTCTCAACCGAATCAATCTGAACCTTCCTCTTCAGATCATCAAAGTTCATTTTCTTCTTCACCATCTGTCCAAGTCCAGTACCATGAAGTCATGTCTGAGCAAACCAAGCATGCTTACAGTCCCTCATTGAACTGTGTCCCATATTTTCCTCAGTCTGCTCCTAAAACTCACATGAATTCTTCTCTGTCTGTTTATTCTCAGCCTCGTCTTCCACTCACGAACCTCACAGCATCTCAAATAAACAATATCTCTGAGTCAGCCAAATGTAGGAAGGCCTATTGCCCTACCATGCAGGTCTCTCATACACGCATACTCACCCGCCCAATGCCAATTCCAGTCAACAACCAAACACCCGTAACAACTCATCCAATACCAGCCAACAACCAAACACCCCTACTAACTCATCAAATACCAGTCAATAACCAAACACTCGCACCGACTCATCCAATACCAGCCAACAACCAAACACCCCTACTAACTCATCAAATACCAGTCAATAACCAAACACTCGCACCGACTCATCCAATACCAGCCAACAACCAAACACCCGTACTAACTCATATAATGCCCATCAACAACCAAACACTCATACCAACTCATCCAGTGCCAGCCAACAACCAAACACCTGTAATAACTTATCCAATGCCAGTGAACAACCAAACTCCCCTACTAATTCATCAAATACTATAATGCCCATCAACAACCAAACACTCGTACCAACTCAACCAATACCAGCCAACAACCAAACACCTGTACTAACTCATCCAATACCAGCCAACAACCAAACACTCGTACCAACTCATCCAATACCAGCCAACAACCAAACACTCGTACCAACTCATCCAATGCCAGCCAACAACCAAACACCCCTACTAACTCATCAAATGCCAGTCAATAACCAAAAACAACCAATTTCAGTCAACAACCAAACACCCGTAACAACTCCTCAAATACCAGCCAACAACCAACCACCTGAACTAATTGAATCAATACCAGTCAACAACCAAATACCTGTATTAATTCAACCAATTCCAGTCAACAACCAAACACCCATACTAACCCCTCCAATACCAGCCAACAACCAAACACCCGTATTAATCCAACGAATACCAGCCAACAACCAATCAACCATACTTACTCATTCTATACCAACTTACAACCACGCACTCATACTGACCCATCCAGTACAAACCAATTTCCTGGGGCCCGGACTTTCTTTCTCTGTGCAACCCAGTATTCCCTTAACTGTCCTTTCAACAATAAACAAACTTTCTTTAAATTATGCTACTGCAGTCGCTAATGTCCTTCCTGTAAACCCAATGCCTTCTACTCCCATTGATGGCAACAACACCTTTCGGTGTAAGAGAGGCACCTACAATAGCCATAACCTCCCAGTCAAGGCCTTGGCTGATTCTGCCTGTGATCAGGATGCAGGTGTGAGCAGCACGAATTTCACTGATACGGACCATCTGGAGAGCAACTTGCCCACCTCCCTTGTGTTGGGGGCAGCTCCCAAAGAACCTTCACTAGATCCTGGCCGCTCCTCTGGCCCATCCAACATTCACCAGGACTCTCTCTCCACCACCACCACCACAGAGAAATGTTCAAGTCAAGCTCAAGACTGTCAGTCATCCAACAAGAACTACTCTGGACCAAAACACTGGAGCATTGGCATGCCGACAACTTTCCGTCAGCTTGTAGAGGCAACATGCATACCTGTCAGGTCAGACAATCTGAACACAACACCTCCAGTGGATTCAACACCTTGTAGCACATCAGAAGACCTTGATGGGGAGGTTGGTGAATGTTTGGTTTGATTCTTACAGATAGAGGTATGTCAGAGATCTGTGTTTCATTCAAAAGCTTTCTTTTCCTACCAGAGGATGACTCATGACAAGACTGTCCAAAGTACTTTTGACTACAGGGAGGCAAAAAAAGAAGACAAAGAATCTGCAGGTTATTTTCTTCTCAAAAGAGTTCTCAAAAGAATAGTGTTTGTTTTCCTCACTCATTTCTTTTTTTCCTGTCTTTTAGTCACCCTGGAACACTTCAGGAGACAAATCAAACAATGCAAGAGGTTGTCTCAAGATATATTCTTATTTAGTGTTGGTTCATATTGATCTTTGCTTCATAGTGGAATCTATAGTGTTTATTTGCATCCTTCCTGCATCGAAAGAATTATTAACCTTATTTATGTCTCAATTAATGTTTGTGATAACTATTAATAATATTATTAATAGTGTTAATAGTATTTACAGTACCGTCCTAAATTTTTTGAAAGAAGTCGCTTTGCTCACCACGGCTGTATTTATTTAATCAAAAATAAAGTGAAAACCATTGATATATTACAATTTAAAATGACCATTTTATTATTTTGTAAATCCTGTTTTAATATATTTTAAAATGTAATTTATTCCTGTAATTCTGCAGCCATTACTCCAGTCTTCAGTGTCACATGGTCCTTCAGAAATCATTCTGATATGCTGATTTGGTGCTCAAGAAACATATTTTTGTTAGCAATGTTGAAAACAGTGTGCTGCTCAGTGTTTATGTGAAAACCGTGATGCATACAAGTTCAAAAGTACAGCAGTTATTTCAAATATAAATATTTTATAACCTAATTATATGTCTTTACAATCACTTTTGATCAGTTAAATGTGTCCTTGCTCAATAAGGATTAGTTTCTTTAAAAAAAAAACATACCCCTAACCATTGAATGGTAGTGTATACATTTCTTTTTTCTTTTCTTATTGGTTTTTTTTTTTTTTTTTTTTTTTTGACTGGACACCAGTTTTCTGTTGAATAGGTCTCTACGTGTTTCTCTTGTGCGTCTGCCCATCTCTCTGCCTCCAAGTGGACAACCACTCCCAGAGTTCCACCTTACTGCAGATACCTCCACAGATCACATCTTCGTGCAGGAATCCCAGGGAGGACAGGTAAGGCAACACACACAGAGTACATATGACTGTTGTAAGCCATGTTAGCACCACAGCTATTCTCAACTGTGCCCTGCTCTTCCCCAGGTTAACCAGGTGTGGAGATGGTATGAAGATCCAATACCATATAGATCCTCTTCTTGCTCTGTATCCCAAGAAGATGGCGACAGCTCCCCGGCATCTGACGTAGAGTTCTGTGCCGTGTGTCTGTCTGCAGGAGCTGCACTTCTGTGTGCAAAATGTGGCTGTGCTTTCCACTCTGACTGTCACATCCCACCAGTTCTCACAAAACCTTGGTGAGACCATCAGAAACTGTCACACTGTACAATTCTTGATTTTTGAATAGTTTTGGAGTATTTATGGTTTATAAGATATTGGAGTTTGATAAGCTTGTGCATTTAAGAACAATATCGGTTTTCTTTGTCCTCTATTTGAGTCTTGGTGTATTTATTTTCTCTTGCAGTAAGGATTGGGTGTGTTTGCTATGTCAGGATGTAAATGAGACAGTCGTGTATGGCAGTGAGGAGATGAGGACGCCTAGTCTGAGTCTGCAAGATCAAAGAGTGAGACACCACCAGCCTGAAAGAATCTACATTCATAGTTACACTTTTTAAAAGGATATTTTAGAGGATTGTAGTTTAGCATGGTGTTATGCCACATCTTTTATTTCTTGTCCTAAAATGATATAAAGTCACACCAATGCAATGTCATCCATTCTGTTCAGAAGTGTGAGAAGCTTGTCCTTGGTCTCCTGTGTGATGAGAACAAGAGCCTGCTCTACAGCGCCACCAAGGTAAATGCACCGTGCATGTCACAGTCACACATACTGATGATATTCCAATTTTCCAATGATATTATTATTCCAGGCAGTTTATTGAATAGTTAATGACAAATAAGAATGTACAACATAAAGAGAAATTCGATTCTAGCTTGTGTTAAGTTTTTAGAAATATACTCTGTTGCTGTTTTAAAAAAAAAAAAAAAAAACACTTTTATACCATTTCAACAAAAGTTTAAATTGAATGACTTTAATGAAAAAGTGATGTGTGTAACTATCAATTAAAAACACATTTTCGTTACACATTGAATACATGCAAGTGTTTACATCTTAAGAATTGTCATTTTTTTTAGAAATTAATTTTAATGTACATTTTTAAATGTCACGATAGTTAAAGGGGTCATATGATGCGATTTCAATTTTTCTTTTCTCTTTGAAGTGTTACGGGGTCGTCACATGTGGTTGCCGCAAGCCCGCCGGACGCTCCTTCGTTCTCAAGCTCACCGGCCTCCGCTCACTCAAGCCTTCCGGCCGTTCCTCACTCTAGCCCTCCGGCCTCCGCTCACTCTAGGCCGCCGCCTCCGCTCACTCTAGGCCACCGTGTGTGACGCTGTGTTTCGTTGTGAAAGCAAAACTACTTTGTTTGGCCTTCCAAAAGAGGACACGACTAGAAATCAGTGGTTAAGTTGTATTTACAACACTGTTCCAGAACACTTCAACCCAAATATTCAGATGTGTGCAGCACATTTTATGGAGGACTGTTTCCTGATCCTGGTAGAGTAGACTACAATGCCGGCAGTTCTGACTCACAGTCTGTACGTTTTTTATGACACATTTCATTACACCAAATACACAAAATAATGTTCTTTTTAGCAACATCATATGACCCCTTTAATAATATATATGGATGTAAAAATATCAGATGTAATAATATAATTATTCATAATAATAACATACCATATGACATTTTACAGCCTTAACTAATTTTGCCATTTCATAGGCAAATTATCTGATAATATTAATGATACACAGTCATCATTAATATACCATCACAGTCAGTCTTCAGGGCTCCTGTTTGATTTCATTTCATTTTTCTGAATGCTTCTGCCTTTGTCACACCACATGATTTTGTTCTTTGCGTCAATAAATAGATCCAGATTAAAATGATCTTGTGAGTTATGCTTTATTTTTAAAGAATCACTCAAAAACAGCCGAATTTGATATAATACTCGGCCGACTCCTGGGGAAACGGAAGCCTCCTTATCGGACTGCTGCTGAACTGGTGTCAGATGTTTGGACTCTCTTTGACATCTTGTTGATGAACTCTGAGGCAAATCACTCATCACATTCATGTGTAATTTAACTGCTAAGCTTCTTCTTTGAAGGACTACAAATTCATACCTAATTATAATTTAATTGAATGCTCCATAATAATGACATGATATTTTTATTTCTATAGAGGACAAACATGGTTGTTAAACTTCAAAAATCTTTCCAGCAACAGCTGAATGAATCTTTTGGGAAGAGTCTCCATGCTTCTCTCTTGAAACAGTCCAGCAGCAAGGATCCAGAGACTGAACGAGAGAAGCACAGAAACACTTTGAAACGCATGAGAGAGTTTGTCATGGCAAACTCCGGTACAGCTGCAAAGAAATCCTGCACTGATGAAGGGAACGAGGGAGATGGCTGTGGAAACACTACAGCTGCTGAACACTGAAGTGCATCAGTCATTACTTGCTTTTGAAATTCGCAAAAATACTTCTGTATTCTCTTGTGAAGAGGGAACCAGATCACTTTCTGTTTATTGTAGTAGTTTGTTTATTTAGCTTTGCCTTTAAGTAAGATGTGTATTAAACAGATTATTTAATTCAAGCTCACAATTTCTTTCTGTGGTCACTTGATGCCTTGATCTGCCACGATCGATTTATGCGTGTGGGTTGCAAATTATTAGCATTATTGGATGTTATGTAGCTATGATGCCAGCAGAGGGCGCGAGGATCCTTTGGTCGCTTGACTTTCAGTGGCGCTTTTAAGGCAAGCATCAGCCTTATTTGTCTCGCCCCGCAGCAGTTGTGCTGCAATAATGAAATATGATGAAATGAAATAATGCAATATCACATTGAAATGGCTGATGTTTTTAATTTCACTCTTTGTTTAGGTTATAATTGTGGGAATTTAAATTTGAGTCTGAAGGACTGATTTAAGTCTAGATGGCCCATGGGCAAATAATATCCATGCATAAAAAGCGTTTAGCAAAAATAAACAATTAAAAAGGCTGTCTACCTATATATATATATATATATATATATATAAAAACGTAGGCCTATACATTCATGTAACAAAAACTTTTAAGCTGTCAGTTTAAATAAAAGTCAGTCTCTGGAATATAATGTCCTACGTTGCAGAAAACATACAAGTGTATCCTTATGATTTTGTTTTAAAAACGTTTTCAAATCTTTTGTTTTGCACGAATGCAAACCGCAAACAAAACAAGCTGGATTAATGGCTCTGTCGCGTTGGCAAATTTTTGAGGTCGGTATGAGTTGATTGTGGTCGAAAGAGGAAAAAAACGTTTGTTGTTGACGCAAATAACACGGGGCTGCTTGATAGGACCAGTTTTGGGCGGTTTACTTGTGCGAATAGGCGCACTGTTCTCTGATTGGTTTGAAGTCGACTTAATTCTATAAGCCCCCACCCACTGTTTTTATATATAATTGCAGTAGAATGTGAAGTTTACACTAAACACTCAAGACATTCACAGGGTCCACTAGGTGAAATGGTTGTTCTGGTCAAACCAAGTCCTCAGTTGGGCAGCAAAGCAATGGATGGAAATCAGCACAAAGTTGTGGCCAATGTTCTGCTGCTTGGAGCAGAAAATGTCGGGAAGTCAGATGAGCACAAAACTGAACTTGACTTTGAATGCAGAGAATTCTGTCATGTTTATATGGTTTATTTGTTAAGCTTGCAAATAATAATATGTTATATTTATTTGTTTGCAGCCCTCACTGTGCGATTTCTCACCAGAAGGTTCATCGGAGAATATGGGGATATCGGTACGTCAAATGAGATTTACTATAATACCATTCATAATAACATACAAGCTATATGTTGTTTATGAACGAGGAGTATTTATTAATTTCACTATGCTCTCTTTCAGAATCAATATACAGTCATATTGACAAAACAGATGGGCGAGAGATAGCCTTAAACATTTGGGACTCACTGTATCCACAGGTATGTGTATTTTGTTTGAAATATTTGTGCTTCAATATTAGAATGTATGAAGAGGCCAAATTGTGAGATTAAAATTCATTTATACAGTTTTTTTGCATCATGCTTTCCTGTTCAAGTTAATGTGATTTGACCCTCTAAATTCTGTCACCTCCAGAGCTGCGAAACAACTGAATCCATCAGTGACAAGCAGCTGCAGTGGGCAGACGGTGTGATCCTGGTCTACAGCATCTGTGATCGCTCCAGCTTTGAGGTGGTTCGGCAACAGGTGCAGCTCATCCGGCAGACTAGGAAGCTGCCTGCATCTGCCCCGATCATTATCGTGGGGAACAAGCGAGACCTGCTGCATCAGAGAGCCGCGTCGAGCGAGGAGGGCAGACTGTTCGCCCTCTCGGCAGACTGCGGCTTCTTCGAGATCTCAGCGGCTGAAACCTACCACGGTGTGCTGCTGGTTTTTCACGAAATCCTGGACCTCATCAAGGAGTCCAGAGCACTTAAAAAGGGGATGGTCGGAATCATGGGTATAGTCAGAAGCGTGTCCGCAGTGTTTGGAAAGAAACGCGAGTGAAGAACTGTCGAAGATGATGAGCAAGATGAAGATATGGGGCCCCTGGCAACCTAGCATCTAAATAGCTGAGAAGAGGACCCTGGCCGATGGGTTTTTGGGGCCAAAGGGAGTCACTTTCACCTTATTAACCTTCATGGATGGTGGAAGGAAAAAGAGTAAAAAGAGAGCATGTTAGAAGTTCCGAGTCCAGCTTTATGGTGAAGAAAAGTAGATGAAGTTTGTTACAGCAAGGTGATAAAAGATGTGCTGAAGATAAGTGATCCTGGGCTTTGATGCAAGTTGGTCACTGGGTATGTGTAGCAAAATGAACCAAGAGACAGCCCGGATCTGTCGTAGTCCTTTCCATTTTTCACAGAATGATTCTTCAGCTCTGAACAGATGATTTAGACAAATTCGAGTGAGCTTCTGCTTTGGATTACAGATGCCTGAAATGTAGAGATGGACTGAATTGTTCCATTATGAGTCTCCACTGACATTTAGATGTGAATTATTAAATGTGGGAATTGGGAGGAGACTATGTGTAGTAAAATGTAGATAGATATTTTATATATATATATTGTAATTTCCATAAGAATGTTTCCTGGCTAGTTTCTTTGAGGTTGGTGGTAGTATAAATATTACTCAAGTAAAGGCACGTTCACACCAAGGATGATAATTGTAACTATAAACCACAGTTATAGTGATAGTGACACATAGGAACAATTCAGAACAAATTTTTTTTTCCTGCCGATGAAATATAAAACTATTGACATCCAATCAGAATTAACATGACGTAAGCTTGAGCTTTTGTTGTCCTTTGGTGTGTATGACAACATAGTTACTGTTAAAGTTATCGTTATAATTCTTTCTTGGTGTGAACAGCCTTAAGAACTAAAGAGATGTCATTGACATATTATTGACCTGTATATACTTGAATCTTTCACTTTTGTATATAAACATGATGTCATTTAGTTGAAGACCTTTTTTGAGATGTTTTAATGCTTGTATCTAAACGAGGGATTTCAATAAAGTGAAAAAAAATGTAAAAGATGCCTTGATTATTTTGAACTATACTGTAAATCTACTGTATTTTATTAAACATTTAGATTGCATTTGACTGTTTTTAAAAATATCTTAATGACCCCAAAATTTTGAACCATAGTATAGTATTTGAATCTCTTATGGTTACCTAATTATTTAATCAAAAATACAGTAAAAACTGTAATATAGTGAAATATTCAAATTTAACAATTTTTACACAATTTATTCTATGCTCAAACAGCACTCAAAACAACAATCAGATTTTATCAAATGTTTTATTACATTTAAACTCAATATTACATTTGTTAAAAGAAAAAACACTACAAGATAAAGGCTGTTAGGATTTTAGCTATAAATGTCCACCAAGTCATTTAACACCAGTTAGTGACAGTACATGCCTGTCTATGTATAACACACTTCACTTTATGTTTTCCACTCGGTAATTACACATCCTTGATCTTGAAACATAAAACGCCCCATGAATAATCAAAGTAACATTAACAGTATCTTATCCTCTCCTCTCGATTGAACATCCGTGACCTCAGACTGCATGTCAAACCAATTCTATCAGTCATTGACAGTCTATAGATTAAAAACTGCTTATAATGTATAAGAACTAAGAAAGCTGAGGAATAGAAATAGTTTTATTTGGTTTAAACAAAATGCGTTACATGCTAACAATAATAACAGATAGAAAAAATGGTGCTCTTGTCATTTCTGCTCACTTGTTGAGTTGTTTCTTTGTCCTAACATCTAGAAACAGGCATTCAAAGCAAAAAAACACCACCTACCCAAACGGCACTTTGATTTCATTTTAAGTACAGTGCTTTATTTTAGCTGTTAAACCATCTGCACATACTGAATGCTAGGCTAATGATGTTATTTAATAATTAGTCACTGCACTGTCTCTTCCAACCAGATTTGTTTTTGTAGGTTTACCAGAGAAGCCACTGTATGGATTGTGGTTTGAAGGTATGTTTGCTGTACTATCCATAACAGCCTGTGAGCTGCAGCGATGTGTGTTTGAATGCTCTGATTACATTCAAATCTTATGTTTGAGAAGAGTGGAGCTTAATGTTCTGTGGTTTCCACCACAGGTATGACCTGATCTTCAGATGAAGGGCCAGAGCTCAGAAACTCGAACGCCCGTTGGCTCTGTGTAACTAACTGCATAATGGGAGCCAGCAGGACCTCGGTGGCTGAGGAATGGCGGCGGATCATATCGGTGGTGGGCACAGCCAGTGTGTCATGTTCTGGAGGGCCTGAGGGCTGGGAATCTAGCTTCAAACTGCCTTTGCGGCCATTTGCTGGAACTGGGGTGGGAGTTGGGGAGAGAGCTGGGCTTGATGGAAGCCCGCTGGCAGACCCTCGACGGGAGCGGGCGTAAAGGCTTCTGCGGCGACGTGGGCGACCGTCCATGGCCTTGAGGAAGAGGCTGTTTGCAGAGGCACGGCTGGAGGGACTCTCAGGAAGTTCATCTGGAACTGGATTGTTTGTTGCATGGAGATCAGAAACCTGTTTTACCTGAGATAAGAGAGGAACAGTTATAACCCAAGTCTCTGGTACTTTGATTATTTTGAATATTTTATGCAGCAATTTAATTTAAACCAGACTCATTGGGAAAACGTGGCTGTTCCGACATTTCACGAAAATGTATATTATTTCTTGAATATTTCACAACACTTTCAAAGGGAAAAGTCCAGTGAGTGGCGTTTTCTAAATCCAAATTTTCGAAACTTTGAATCTTTTTTTAATCATTTATTTAAAACCAGTGATTCAGAGCACGTATCAAACCTGCCAAAGTCATGTGATTTCAGTGAACAAGGCTTTGGAACATTATAACTGTTTCATAATGTTTAGAAATTTCAATGGTTCAGTCTCTATGAACATATGAACTAGTGCCTATATGGATTTCCCCTGATCTTGGATCAGTTTTATAAATTTGTAGACATTTTCAAGAGTTGTTGTTAGTCTCTTATTTTAATTACAGATTTGCAGTTGGTTTGTAAAAGGTGTTTCTATGCATGTTTAAATCGAGCTTTCGTTGCA